TATACGTAGTAGTAGATCATACGTATCATCCTCTAAACATTTAACATAAAAGGATAAACTAAACGTTTTTTGATTATATTTCGCGTTGGGTACGTATTTTACCAAAGACCAAAGTTGTTATTTCTCATATTCCGATTGGTTACACAAGACCGCAATTTTGTTTATAATATTTGGATAGCAATAGCAATAGATCAAATTTGTTTTTTTCAACATGAATTTATAAATTTTACATGTAATATTTAAAATGCAATATTTAGATGTAATATTTTTTAACCGTTAACACATTGACAGCATCCAAAGAAGTATATTTTATTACTGATTTATAGCATCCAAAGAAGTATATTTTATTACTGAGTTATAGCAAGTCCAATATTACTGTTAGTAAATCAAAAGAATAATGAGAAAAATGGTTTAGAGTTATTTATAATCATTTAAATTACATAACACTTCTGCATTACCGTTGAAGACGTGGAATACCATGAATCCATGGCATTGAGAAGTACTTTGAGGCTATATCGCATGTACTTGTAATGCTGTTACCAGATGCGATATGAGCAACAATAAGATCGAACAGCGGGGTCATTAGGTTCTCAAGATAAACACAAGTTGCCAATTCCCCGCATGCTAGATAATATGCACCAAAGTATGCTTCAAAAGCATCAGCGTGAAGCTTTATGATTACCGGAAATTCCATACCATTAAGTTCCTGAAGTCCAAGTGTTACAGTATATGCGGCCAAAATTTTATTAGTGGCCATTACTGAAACACTTTTACTAATTTCCTTTGAACAGTATTTTGAACCGTATCGACTTTTTGCCAATTTCAAAAGGCAGGAAGTTAAGACTCTGTCGCCAAGGAATTCGAGAGTTTCCCATTGATCGTTATGAGAATGATAACCGACGGCCATCTTCGCCAAGCACGGGTCATCTATCGGAGGAATGGGAGGCAAATCGGTCCTTAAATTGGTAACACCTCTAATGTCTAAAAGACATTAGTAAATCAGTTATTTGAAAAATATAAATAAACAATAAATCAATCAATCAATCAATAAATAAATAAATATATATATATATAATTACATCTATTTGAATAAATGAGCTGGTTGAATTCTGATCTTTTCCTCCTTTTTGTAGACTTTTCATAAATGGTGGTAGACTTTCCATGAATGGTGGTAGACTTATCATAACTACGAAGAAAATCACGTTGTGGTGTATTAAGATCAGACAATGTGATTGGTTCAATAGGAATAAACTCTCCAAAAGTATCATCTTCAACTTTCACACTTTTTAGTTTTTTATTAGAAGGACCAGCATGGTCATTTGGTAAGGATTTTCTCTTCAAGTCTTTACTACTTTTGATATTTTTGATATTGTTGATATTGTTGATATTTTTGATATTTTTGATATTGTTTGCATCCTCCTCCCCATCAAAGGCGTTCTTGTTAGTATTGTTTCTTTATCGAAAGCCAATTCACGAAGATCTTTTTCATCATCACTATCCAGCACGATTGGAGATTCTCTATCACCACTTTGGAAATCTCGATCATCATCATCACAATCGATTATAATTGGAAATTCTAGAGCATTTCCAGTTAATACATTGTTAGTTTGAGGAGAATCTAAGTTACCTTTCCTAGACATAGCACATAAACCATTATTAAATCGTGATGAAGTGGCAACATCATTTGACACAGTTAATGGTTTTTTAGAACGAGATGATGAGGCGACATCACTTGATGTAATTAATAGATTATTAGATCGGGATGATGAAGCAAAGCCGAATTCTTTATATTCC